TTTACACATTTGTATTCAGACATAGTTAGATGAGGATAAATAGTGGTTTATTAACAGACATTAACTATTATAAATACAGTTCTACTTTTTACATTAACCAAGTACTCGCTTCTTCTTACCGTCTTCCTCTGCACGTACGAGTGTACGTGAAGTTCCGAGGCACCGCCTTATTCTGTCATCAGAACAAGTAGCTTGTACTGTCACCAGTACAAGCTTCAGGGTGCCCCGTTACACCTGGTAGCACTTCGTAGTCCGTCCAAGGACCGCGTTCACATCTAACATGAATATGTTAGATGATGAAGATGACCAAAGCTTTCACGCTACGCGTGACGGCTACTCCCATTTGAGCGATGTCGAATGGGATGCGGTTGAACGAATGGGTTCGACCATGGGCATCCATGCTGTTAGCGTCATGCTAGAGGCTCTCAATAGAGATGCCCAACATGCTACTATCGCCAAGTTCATTCAAAATGAACTTGACGCAGAACGCGAGAAAGTAGCCTTGCTTCACCAACAAGGTTCTCAACAAGCAGAGTTGTTGAGAGAACAAGGTGCTCAACAGTTTGAACTGTTGAGACAGCAGCAGGCTGCTGCTGGCGGGTCGATGCACTCGCGTCGACCCGAGACCTTGAAGATTGACATCTCCAAGTATAGGGGGGTCGAAGAGGACTCCCTCTTGAGATGGTTCGTCGAATTAGACGACGCCATAAGGGCGCGTCGCATCGACGACGGGGATATGCAAGTTGCATTTGCCCAGTCAAATCTGGCAGGACGTGCCAAGACTTGGGCACTGGGGCTCAAGTTGCACGACCCATATGCGTTTGGGTCGTTGGAAGTCTTCAAATCGCGGCTCAGACAAACGTTTGAACCGCCTAGAGCTGAGTTCAGGGCTCGAACCGAACTCTTGAAGCTCAAGCAGGTTAAGCGTGATGTGCACGCTTACGCTCAACATATACGACATCTCACGAGTTGTATAAGTTCCAGTCCGGTGGATGAACACACGTTGGTTTCGGTGTTCATGCAGGGTCTTGCGGATGGTCCCGTCAAGACTCACCTGTTCCGGCTTGAACTAGATTCACTAGAACAAGCCATTTCCATTGCGGAGCAGGAAGACTTCAGTCTGAGACAGGCTCGCGCCAGCTCGACATCATATCGTCCACCGAGACGATACGACAGCGGAGGTCCAGAGCCGATGGAACTCTGTTATGTAGAGAGCGAGAAGGCTCGCTCTACAGACTACAAGAAGTTGCAGAAATGCAACAGATGTCAGAAGACAGGAAACTACGCTAACGAGTGTAGTGCCCCTCGTCCAGTGTCCCTCAACACTGAGCGTAATGACCGTCCACCCATGAAAAAGAGGCAGGGACGCGGGTCCGCTGTTGGTGCAAAGACGCAACAACGGGATGGACCGTCAAAAAACGGACAGGATCAGTAGGTGCGGAGCACCCACTGGTCCAGCAACGTCAAGAGAATTTGTAGGCCTCTTGATGAAGGTTGCTCCCAACACACAAACGTTGTGTGTTACTGCTCTAGATAATGAGATCTCACTCATTACCTTGAAACTCGAAGTGACAAATAAGTTGTCCCTTTGAGCTCTAGTCGATTGTGGGGCGTCCAACAATTTTGTGCAACGCCAATCGCTAGAAGATGGTCACTTTAAGTTTAGTGAATGTGACACACCTCCTACGAGGATGACGGTACGTCTTGCGACAGGCGCATCCGTAACCGTCATGAAGCGTATAGTGAAGATCCACTATACGCTAGAAGATACCCAATATGACGATGACTTTATCGTATTGGATTTGGATGACAAATTTGATGTCATCCTTGGAATACTATGGCTCAGAAGGTACGAACCACGGGTAAACTGGCAACATCGAACAGTAACGATGCCTGCCGCTTGTTCATCAGATGGCCATCTGATGAACGTTTTGGAGCGTCCACAAGCGTGTGGATGTACTACGAGTGAGTGCGATGGCCTCACTTGTGGTACGGTCGTTAGTACGACTGCACAAAACCTTAGTGTAACAAACGGTTACACTTGGGAGCAAGATCCCGGCGGCTGTGAGGAGACACAGGCTGCGCCGAAGGTCCACCACTCGAATAAGTCGAGTGGACCAGGACAAAGATGTATCCCTAGCGGGGAACATCTAGAAGAGAAACAATCGATCGCTCAAGTTAAGCGAAACGATAATCCTAGATCGACTGGAGAGTCTTTCGTAGAGGATCTCGCTGTGGTTGCGCAACCACAGCTAGAGGAAATAAAGGGAATAAGTCCCGATGATACAAATACGGCGGAAATAAGTTCCCCGAAACCCGCGGGAATAAGTCCCCGGGAAGCCGAAGGAATAAGTCCTTCGAAGCCTGAGGGAATAAGTCCCCAGGAAATGACAGAGACATTGAATGTCATAGTCAATAACGGATCAAGTGTAGGCGCTTATACACTTGATCTGATTGCGCCTCCGAAGTTAACTTCGGAGATCACTCAGTTGCCAACGCTCTAACATAAAAGGTTCTTGCGTGATCTGCGTAGTGGCAAAGTCAAGCAGATCTGCATACTCGTCGCTGACGACGAGTGTGTAACCGACATAAGGTCAGCAACAGTGTTCACGGAGATCGAGATAGTCTCAGTAGTTCATCTATGGACGAGGGTGTCCTTAATGAAAAGACACGAATTGAGCGATATGACTCCCAATCGTGGGAATCGCTCAAGACAAATCATCTCTATGAAGATTTGGTTGAATTCAAGGATGTATTCCCTGAAACTGTTCCGTGCGAATTACCGAAGGATAAAGGTACTCGGCACGAAGTCGAGCTTAAACCAGGCTCGAAGTAATGTGTCATGAAGCAGTGGCCACTGCCTCGTGAACAAGTACTTGCGATCGACAAGTTCTTTGCCGATCGTTTAGCAGCGGGCCATGTGAGGAAATCAACTTCCCCACATAGCTCTCCGACCTTCTGTGTGCGAAAAGCAACAGGAGGGTGGCGGATAGTGCATGCATTTAACAAGTTTAATGCTGCAACGGTACCGGCTCAGACGCCGATACCAAGGAAGGACGTAATCATTGATGGTATGTCAAAGAGTACCATCTTTTCGTCCATGGATTTGATGGATAGCTTCTATCAAATCCTTATGCGAGAACGGGATATACCCTATACCGCAGTTAGCACGCCTAGCGGCATGCTCTGGGAATGGCTAGTAATGCCACAAGAGCTTAGTAATGCACCTGCCACGTTCAACAGATATGTATCACATCTGTTGAGACCAGTACGAGAATTCGCGCCGAGTTATTTCGATGACGTATTCATCCATAGTAGAGCTATGGATGGAAAGTCGGACGTTGAGGTTCACAGGTACTACGTCCGACAGATTCTTACAATCATGCGAGAGCATCAATTGTATGCAAACCTCAAGAAGTGTATATTTGCAGCAAGCGAAATACCACTTCTTGGGTGCATCGTTGGTAAGAACGGTGTACGTCCTGATCCCGAAAAGATCAAGGCGATCACCGACTGGCCTGTGCCGGTTGATGTCAAAGGTCTTCGAAAATTCCTTGGACTAGCGGCGTATTTGCACAAGTATTCACGCAATTACGCCGAGATGACTATACACCTCTCTCGTTTGTTGAAAAAGAACGAGAGGTGGTTATGGAACGCTGAATGTCAGCGTTCCTTTGATGGCATCAAGCAGAGCTTGATACAATCCTCAGGCCTAGCAATAGCCGATCAGGACAGGCCATTTCATGTGGTCTGTGATGCCAGCGATTTCGCAATCGGCTGTGCATTAATGCAGTACGACCTTGAAGACGTTGAACGCGTCGTCTGCTATCAGTCGCGTCAGCTGCAACCAGCTGAGCGGAACTATCCAGTGCATGACAAGGAACTCCTTGCCATGAAGTATGCACTCGCGAAGTTCAGAGTCTATCTATTAGGAGATAGACCCTTCATTGTTTACACTGACCATGCGTCGATACGCACGGCAGTGAACAGCCCGCACCTTTCACAACGAATGGCGCGGTGGTTGTCATTCTTTGCGGAATACAACTTTACGGTCGAGTACAAACCAGGACGACTTAATGTCGTCGCTGATGCACTTTCACGTCGCCCCGACTTTGAAACAGTCGCGAAACCCAACAGTGAGACAGTCACTGTTGCGGTTATGACGTCCACCATACCATCTTCAACGTTAAATGATGATGTGAGGAGGGCGTATGCCCAAGATGGTGAGATTGTGAAGTTGTTGACACATCTCTCTCTCAACCGTCTCGAGAATCGTTGAAACGACTATCGTCTGCGTATCGATCTGCATCAGATCGATACACTATTCGCAACGGGTTACTGTATTATACAGCCGTTTCTGGTGACACACCACGTGTTGTCATTCCAGATGATACTGATCTGCGTTTGCGGATCATGTTCGAGTATCACGATACTCCTATAGGAGGACATCGTGGCCGTGAGAAAACCTACCTCACGGTGAGTCGAGACTTTTACTGGCCCCGCCAGTATCAGTCTGTGCGAAAGTATGTTCGCGCATGCGAAGTCTGTCAACGAGTGAAGTCAAGTCCTTCACTGCGTGCACCTTTACAGCCTCTACCGGTTCCGGCTGAGTGCTGGGAATCCATCTCAATGGATTTCGTCTTTGGGTTACCCAAAGACACACGCAGGAATACGGGTATTCTCGTATTTGTTGACAGATTCAGCAAAATGTACACCTTGTGGCTGTACCAGAGACAATCACGGCAAGTGGCTGTGCTTGTGTCTTTATTGACACCATCTTCCGACTTCATGGGTTGCCCCGTGAACTCGTATCAGACAGAGATCCACGATTCACTGCTAATTTCTGGCGTTCCGTGTTCAAATCACTCGGAACACGCTTGAAGATGTCGACATCTGATCATCCAGAGTCAGATAGTCAGACGGAACGAGCCAATCGAGTCCTCGAAGAGATACTTTGAGGATACGTACACTCCTTTAAGAGTTGGAGTGAGTTTTTGCCAATGGTAGAGTTTGCCATTAACAACTCGGTGCATCCGTCCACGACACATACACCGTTTTACGTGAATGGCTTGCGCCATCCGCGTGTACCCACCTTACTAGAGTGTAACTCTGGTTTAAAGGGGGGAGGGACTCGCGCGAGCAAAAACCGATTTGGTTCACGCTCATCACGCTCTGACGAAGAGGTCATTGCGTTTGATGCCGATACCGATAACATTGATATCGAAGAAGATGATGCCAGTGAGAGCGCGGAAGCCCTCACTGAAGAAAAGATTGATGTTGCTGCAGTGCACTCACAGCACACTGAAGCAAACGAGTCAGCAGATGAGTTCACACTGGCTCGTGCAACGGTAGTCCGTTTTGTGCAAGACTCCATCGCCGAAGCGGTGGATAAGCAAAAGCAAAACGCTGATAAGAATGGAAGGGCAAACACTCTTTATTTAATAAAGGTGACTTAGTCCTACTGTCTACGGTTAATCTAACAAAGCATGTAGTGACTAACTTGGGTAGCAGTAAACTACTACCCAAGTACATTGGCCCATTTCGTGTATTGCACCGCCTAGGCAATGCATACACGATCGAGTTACCACGTAAGATGCGAACGCATCCCACGTTTTACGTTGGTCGGCTTAAGCCGTACCATCAGTACGCTGCTTCTTTTGATGAAGAACGCCCTTGCGCTCAAGCATCTCACAGAGAGCCTTGTGCTCCCGATGGTGGATATCGACAAGGGTATGAAGAGCAGTTATCTCATCCCGAGACCGATCAACAATCCCACGAGCTACCCTTAGCTCGTAACGAAGAGATGTCAGAGCTCTCTCGTTCTAGAGCTGAGCAAAGGCAAACTCAGCTCGATGCTTCGAGGCAGTGTCCGCCATTTGGAGACGCCTATTCCGCTCATGTTCGAGATCGTCGCGTAACCCTTGCGTTACGCGATCAAAGAAGCTCTCGGGAACACACCGATCCACATGATCGTGTGGAGAGCGTCTTTCCTCCTCCTCCACCTCCATTAGAGGACTCTCGCGGTGGCCAGCGCTATCTAGTTGAGCAGCTGTTGAACCACCGCGACGTGAACGGACGTCGGACGAGTTATCTCGTCCGGTGGCGCGGCTATCCCCCGTCCTGGGATTCTTGGGAGCTCCGCTCCCAACTGATGATCGACGTACTGGGTCTGGTTGATCAGTACGACGCGGCACATCCTGTGCCGCAGAAGGACCGCCGGAGAAAGTCTTCCCGGCACGGTCGTAAAGGGATTTCAGATTGTCAATCCCTTCGTACATCTCAGTAGAGATACGTACGCGCCACCACGGGCTAGCAAGGAGGTAAGCCTCCTTAGGTGCTCGTGCAGAGTTGTTTACACAACATGGGCACGAGTCTCCCCAAGAGAGGCAGGGTAATCCTTTCTCCCTTGACAGACGATGCAGCTTGTAGCGTGCACCTGTCGGGATTCGCTTTTCAAACTTATCACGAGCTTTGATAAGTTTGTCGTTCCAAGCGTCACGACCTACATCCTCAAGGTTATGGATGTAGGCGTTCCACGCCTGAAGTAGTGAGGGACCATCACGTTTGTGATTCCCACTGTACCATCGATGTCTAAAGAAAGCATCGATGAAGAGTTCATTCTCAGCGCGATAGTTTTTCGCACTGGAGTCAAGGTGATGGATCCTTGACGAATCGAACAATCGTGTTCGATAACGATCACTCGTCGTCGCCGACAAGTGATCCATGACGGATTTTGGAGGCATCCATGCCTTCTTTTCTGGAGCGAGACGCAAGACATTGCGGTCCCGCTCTTCCTGCGACGTGCCGACAGAAAGACTGGCACCTCGTTGCGAAGTGGTGTCAATAGGAGAACCGACACCGCTGTTAGCGCCCGAGTCTCGCGACCTCGAGCGCCTTCGCTTCGGCGATGGTTCATCTGATTCGTAAGATGAACCAAAGATGCTACGACGCGTAGAATCATCCATGCCACGCTTGGCAGGCGGCTTGTGTTCGATCGCCGTCGATACGGATCCGTCATCCGTATCAGGAGAGTACGAGACACCGAGCTCGTACTCTGTGAAGACATGAGTGTCTTCATGACCAGCGCCTGCATCACCAAGTGACACAGGCTGAGTCGCTTCAGCAACCGATGAGACATCAGTTGCTGTGGTTTCTGCTTCGGCGCCCGCACAGAGACGTGCGGACGCGCTCTCGGCGGCCTTGCTCGCGCATCGCATGAGCTTGTTAACCATGCGATGAAATGTTGGAAAGTGGACTCGGACCAACAAGTGCAAACCCTGTCCCAAATGATTTGGGACGAGTATCCATTTAGTCAATCAGTCACTAAAGTGACTGATGGTTAAGGGGGGGTGATGTAACGGGGTGAATCGTTACATAACAATTTATAAGGAATTGTTAATAGAATATAACTATAAGAGTTATATTCTCAGAATATTGTCATAAGGACAAATATTCTGCAGCACTTACGAGTAGTTCCTAATTGGTTGATATAGGCCATTATATCAACCAACGAAGACGCGCCACGACAGACGCACGCAATGAGTGGTGAGCAGATAGTTGATATGCACATTTGTATTCAGACATAGTTAGATGAAGATAAATAGTGATTTATTAACAGACATTAACTATGCTAAATACGGTTCTACTTTTTACATTAACCAAGTACTCGCTTCTTCTTACCGTCTCCTCTGCACGTACCAGTGTACGTGAAGTTCCGAGGCACCGCCTTGTCCTGTCATCCGAACAAGTAGCTTGTACTGTCACCAGTACAAGCTTCAGGGTGCCCCGTTACATTCTAAGTACAGCCGCTATCCGTGGGATTAATAGCAAAAGAGGTAAATTTCACTCAGTATTTTCGACGAATCAAAACTTTTTTTTGTTTACTGCACGGGAAAAGGGTAGTTTAAATGAAAAAGGAAGTGATTTTAACAGCTACCTTGTCAAAATGGCTTGCATGACCTAATAGAATCTAAAACAAAGTCACATGAGATCGTTCGGAGACAAATGTACTAGCGCTGCGGAATCTACTTCGGTGCCACTTGAGCGGATGGATGGCTTCGAAAGCTCAAATTTGAGTGGTGCAATGAGCCGGCAGCGCCACAAATCTAGTTTCTCGCACAGCAGTTACAAGCGGTACGGCTGTTACATGAACGCCAACTTCACCGGGCTGTGGGTTTCCCCATCAGTGCAATGGTCTTGCAGCTTTTATCGTCAAATGCATACATAGTCTTCATTCTGTTGAGCAGCAAGGCTCAGCCAGGCACTCCTGGGCCAGCGCAGCTCGATCACATTGTTCTAGCGCTGCTTCAACTAAACTGCAGCATCCGTATGACTTAATTCTGGAAAACAACAAATGCAAGTATCTGCTCGTGTCAAGTCACGCAAATATCGTGTTTTATTTATCTGAAGACGCAAATCGCAAGCGCATACACCTTCTTCATTCAAATTTACATGGGCGTGTTACTTTCTTGTGCCAATGGTCATCTTGCGACCAATAGTCATACTGCAAAGATAAAAGCTTTGATCCCTAACGCCCGGATCCATGAGACCGATCGCTGACCGGCCAGGAAAGCTACTTATTTCTACAAGATCCAAGAACATCAGGCGTGGCCCGGTTGGCCGCTATGGAGCAAACATCCAGTGGCAGCGGTGTTGCTGTAAATGCAAGGCCGTCCTAGCTGCCTAGCTGCCTAGCTGCCTAGCTATCTTTTTCTTTTCTAAACGTAGTGCGACACTAGTTGTGCGGGAAATGAACAAAATACAAATGGTCATTCGCGAAGTAAATACAAATGTGCTTAGTACAATGACGAGTTTACTTCGGCGCAAACTGGCCGCAGTGCCAAATCAAGTGACACCACGTGTATGCGCTGGCGCTAAAAGACCGGTCTAATCACTTTTATGTAGCAAGAATTTCAAGCGTAAGTGCCCTTCCAAAACTACCGTTTACATCATGGACACAGCTCTTTGCGCTGAAACTCTTGTCACAGAGACTGCAGTATCGACAGAGACCTGTGTGCAGAGGCTGCCATCGCGTGGGATCAGATTATAGTATGTTAATATTGTGATTGTGGAGACGATAAAGCCAATCACGGATGAGAAGCGAGAGAACGGGGAAGCAATCGAAGAGTAAATTTGATGCACACAAGAAAGCACATGTACCCGGTCTACGAGCGAGAGAAGCAGCAAGATCACTCGAGCCGGAAGCAGCAAGATCACTCGAGCCGGAAGCAGCATTCTGAGAACATTCTTCCGTAGGCTGTTCCATTGCTGAGACAAAATAGGCGCTTGAAAAATGAGCTGGCGACCACTCGAAACAGAAACAATCTATTAACCCGACGATGAAATGTCCACTTCGTTTCGATTGAGAAGAGCAGACCAGTAATATAGTGTCTCTTCAAGGAACTGTGGTCTTGCCAAAGCGTCATCGCAGCAATTAGCTATTGTTCCATCGCAGATCAGGGGGGCCAATCAGGGCAGTTCGCTATCGGCTCGAAAACGTGGGCACGTCAGCACGTCGGAGTCCATCGAGGTCAGCGAAGGGGAGAACTGGAGTGGACTTGAGAGCTCCAAACAGAAAAAAGGCAGGATCAGCGTTGCTTCTCCTCAACCCTATATCACTCGGATGGAGGAACGAATGGATACCGACGACTGGCCGGATCTCTGGCAGGCTCTGGGCGTTGAATGGCCAGTAACGGCTTCTACGCCATATCCACTAGTGTATGGTAACCCTGAGGCGTGGCTAAAAACTGCCCAGGTCGAGCCAGAGCTGCTGCTCCATCACGTGCGACGCTTTGTTTTCCCGGGTGAACTGCTGGCTAGCCTAGGGGATCACGTTCTCGGGATGTGGACGGCTCAGTGGCGACAGGCGTGCTTGCTGTCTGGTCTGCTTGAGTACAGGCGTCGAGTGCAAGATGCTATACAATCACTGTGGCTAGATCAATGGATCGTGCGAACACAGCAGCGATTGCCTTCCTCCCGGCTGGCCCCATTAATCGACAATACCGACGATTGGGTCAAGCTGAGGGAGGTCGACTACGCTACCGATGATATTTTGCGTCTGTGTGACCCTCACCGACGTATACGCCTGAGTTATCACCTACTATGTGCGGTATTGTTCGACGCTGAGATTTTTGCGCTGACCGGGGATGGGGAAAAACCACTTGAGCCTTCCGAGCAACTTCGAGGGCACCTACGCTTACTTCGGAACAACAGTCACTACAAGGAGGTGTATTACGTTGACGGGGGATCCAAGGTGGATTGGCGCAAGCTGGTTTGCTTCTTTAGTACTGCGTTGGCTCCTGCAGAGCAGCAGTTTCTACTTGAGTACTAACGGCAGCTTACGGAGCAACGAGGCCTTCAGGCCCGGTGGTGCATCACTCGACGCATCGGACGCCTATGGCCGCCGTCTCTTGCTTAAGGAATGGACCAATTCTTTTGAGCCAGTTACATCTCGGCTCCAAGGCTGGATGGGTGACATGCTTTACATATCTCAAAATGTACGAGGATTCAAGGACAGCGTGCGCGACAGTTGAATGTCGATTTGGCGGGCTAAGACAAATCGACACTGAACAGGGGCTTGGTGCATCCAGGACACACATGTGCACACAGAAGCAGAGGCAACTCGGCTGCGATATCAGTGGGCTCGACTATGGGGTCAGCATCTTAACCCGACTTCCCCTGTCCTATCGTACTGGAGTATTGGCTCGTCAAAACGGGCAGGAGTTGCTATTCTACTCACTCCACAAATTGCAACACATACGACGGCCTGGTTACCGGATTTCTGGACCACACGCGCGATCGCTGTATCTATGGGGGGAAGTCCTTGTGAATTTGTACGCTCCTACTTTGCGGTCCGAGCGAGAGGCTTTTTTTACCTCCCTGCTGACCTTAAATCTAGACCCCTCAAACACGATGATCGTCGGCGACTTTAATTGCGTCCAGAGTCCCCTTCTGGATCGATTTGGGAAGCATCGCTCCAACCGGTCAGAAAGCCCGGCCCTGGACCACGTTGTGTCTACGATAGGATTGGCTGATGCAAGATGGCTTCGCGAACACGCAGACGACGACTCAATGGATACTTTTGTGGACCATTTCACATACTGGGAAGGGGATAGGGCTAGTCGTATTGACAGATTTTATGTACCGGAAGGCTGGGTGGACCGCGTCCTGTGGGTTGAGACGCGCTTACCTTCAAATTTGTCGGACCATCAGGAGGTAGTTCTACACCTGCGAAAACCAACCAGGCGTCGCCCTCATATTCGACGTGATAGGGTGGTGTATCCCATCACAGCATCGAACCCCGATAGCATAATAGCAGAACTTGTCGAGGAAATGGATGGCATGGCTGTTGGTCAAGCTTTATCTACCAGGACTTGGGATCCAGACGTTGCTGAGTGTGTACGCTGTATTCGGCGTGTCAGTAAGAGGGTGAAGCAGCGCAGGGCTCGATTTCGCCATAACATTCAGAGACGGGCACAGCAGCACTTGCTTACCAGGCCACAATGGATATCCTGTAAGATGGAAGAATTGCGTCAGAAACATATTGTGCGACTCGGTCAACAGCTGGTCAGGACAACATATCGGTTACGGTTTTTTTATCGCAAAATAGCCGACTGGGAGCGCGAGCAAACCGTCACCGGTATTAAGCAGCTTCATGGACCGGTTTTTTAGTCGCACCATGTCGACGGCAGATAAATTTGCCTCCGAGTGGTCCACTGTTTTAGGCGTGGTACATCGCAGTACCCCTTTGGAAGCCTTACCAGCCACCATTCGTCATTTTGTTCAAGTTCCCACCCAACGGGTACTTTGTTCGAGCGAGAATCAGTCTTTAATGGCCGATTTCACTGAAGATGAGGTTATTACAGCCATCACGGGCCTATGTCGACATAAATCGGCTGGATCTGATGGTTTAAACAACGACTTTTTAAGGATACGCCGGCGCTTTTGGTTCCAGCCCTGGTGCGAATCAGTAATCAAATATTGGCGGGCTCCGATCCTCCACCTTCTTTTCTGGAAGCGCTGATCATACCTTTGCGGAAGAAAGGTGACTCAGATGATGCTATGGATTACAGGCCTATTTCGCTACTTCAGACCAGTTACAAAATCTTCGCGAAGGTGCTGGCGACTAGGTTACAAGTTGTATTACCTAAAGTCATTGGTGACTCACAACAAGGTTTCGTCCATGGCAGGCAGATGTTGAAGTCTGTCCTGATGATGCTCTCCCAACTGGCAACGGCTTCTTCTGATGCAACTCTCGACGCGATTAATAGCAGGGTCATCCTTCTACTTGATTTTCGAAAGGCATATGATACTGTGGACAGAAGCTTTCTTTACGAGGCGCTTCGACAATTTGGATTTGAGGAACGATATATTCAGCTAATTACTCGGCTGCATGAAGGGACTACGGCTACATTCCTCGTAAATGGGGAACGGTCCAGTCCAATATCCGTCGTGTCAGGAATTCGGCAAGGCTGCCCTCTGGCCCCTTTGCTATTCCTCGTGGTGGTCGAGTTGTTGGGAATTGCAGTTCAGCAGTCTCCCACCTTGAAAGGACTCCCGGTCCCAGGTAGCCGTACTCAAACGCACCGCTTCTCAGCGTTTGGCGACGACTCCACGATTTTTCTCGAGCAAGCGAATCAGCTGGCACCGGCTCTTGCCCTCGTATTACGCTTTGGAGCCTTATCTGGACTGGAAGCCCAGCCGTCAAAGAGCAAAATCATACTCTTGAACACAGGGGTGCAGATGCGAGAAATGGTTGGCATTTCGGTGCTACACCAGACATAAACAGTAAGGTACCTGGGCTATGAGGTTGGTCTTGGTGCCTTACATAACCGCAATTGGGCTTTAAGGATTCGAAGGCTTCAACGGCGGCTAATCACAGCTTCCAGGGTCGCGACTAGTGTGGAGAATCGAGTGTTGATTCTAAACTCCATCATTCTTCCATCCATTTAATTCACGGCAGCGGTATTCAACATCCCAGAATGGGCGAGGCAGGCAATCCAAAATTTGTACAAACCATTTTTGTGGGCTCATGCCACTTCGACAGAAGCTAGCAGGCACAAGATCAACCCAGGACTGCTATTCACTCCGAAACACGCAGGCGGAGTAGGGCTGGCTTCATTCGAGGTCGCAATCAAAACTCAGCACACGAAACATGCACTGCGGTGGCTAACGCAAGCCCAGGGCAAGTATTTTGCCTCTTGGTGTCACTGAGCTTATCAAGGTAGGCCAACTTCCTCATCCCTGGTCCTGTATGGAAGGGGTATACCAGTGATAACATCTTCTTGCACTTCGAAGCCGTCGAAACCTGCATGGATACAAGACATGGACAAGCTTTTGCAACCCACGACGGAGCAATTGAATTTTATTCGAGATCGCGTCCGCATGCACTATTTGACTTTGCTCGAAGAAGCCAGTAGCTGGTGGGAAGAAGATGAATGGGTATTATCTTACCATCACCCTTTTCCGGAAGCATTGGCATCCAACGACGTCCAAGTACTGGCACTGCACCGCTTTTGGGGAACGTTCGGATGGAGTAACAATTCGTGGATTCGCGACGGGCAGGGTCGGCAGCTTGTACGCTCCAAATACGACCGGATAGCTGACTGCTCCATCTCGGACTTGCACATTCGCAGAACCGGACCGAAAGAGTTTATCTTCAGTATCTCACTGGCTGGACCTGCCTCTAAGCATCACTATCAGCCGAAGTTAAGGCGCTGGGCTACATCTATCTTGCTCGCTTCGCCTTCTATTCAAATTGGGTCGGAACTAGCGCTGGAACCGAAGTTAGCACTTCGTCATGCGCCTCCGTTTCGGTATCATTTTGAATTTTCGACGGTGCGACATGGTTACGTCGTCGGGAATAGACGGGAGTCTGCGGATAACGGGTGTGAGCACGTCAAATTGCGGCAAAGTGCCGACGGATTTAGATGGTTTTTTACCACATCATTACCTGAGTTGGTTACTGAAACTGTCGCTGAGAGGGACATTTGGATGCGCCGACTGTGGTTACATGGTGTCGTGTTTTATTCACATCCTGATCATCATCGATTTCCCTGGGCTGTGGCCAACACGGTGGCGAACGTTTCGATTAGGGCCACAATTGCCCGGCTAGCGTTCAGACTTCACAAACGACTGCTTGCTATCCCTTTGAAAGGGCTGATCCAACGGTTGAAACTGTTGTCACAAATGCGCCTCGGCATGCGTATTCGCACAAGAACCTGTAGCTCAAGTGGTTTGGTGTGGCAGCACCATGCGAGAGGTCACTAGTTCGATATCCAGTGACTGCAACAAAAAGTTAAAACCTTCGGGTACTGGTGTGCCGGGGTTCACCAGCACTGTCCTGCCAGACAGTGACGTCGCCCATCTTAGTAAGTTACGGTGTTTGTTAGAAACACACTATCTGAGTTAGAAACGTACGACGAGACGATTAGTAATGTACGACTGGACGATTACTAACGTTGAGTCAGAAAGAATAGAGTAGGCTTAGGGAGGTTGTGAACTAAGGACCTAAATATATAGTCTGTGCATTTTGCAAAACTTCGATCACTTCCTTTTAGGTTATGAGCCCAAGCCCCGCTGACTCTGACAAAGACCTCGATCACGCCTTCGCCATGGACTCGTCTCCGTTTACTGTCGCTCGCATTAACAAGTTCGACGGCACGAACTTCCATACGTGGAAGTTCAAGATGCAAATGGTGCTGGAAGAGAGGGACCTCTGGGACGTGGCGAGCGGCAAGGTCAAGCTCAAGTACTGCACAAGTAATTTGGACCAAGCGACGTTGAGCGAAAGTCGCGGAAGGCGCTAGCGATCATCTGTCTGGCGATGGAGGATTCGCAGCTGCCACTGGTTTGCTCAGCGAAGGAAGCGTATGATGCATGTTCACGTCTAGAAGATCACTACGAGAAGAAGAGCTTGGCTAATAAGCTCTTTCTTCGTCGCCGTTTCTTCACGACAATGATGGGAGAAGGTGATGATGACGTGCTGGAGCACATAACAGACTCAAGAATCTAGCGGAGCTACTCGACGCAGTCGGTGCTCCGGTCAGTGAGGACTCGTTTTTGTCCAGCCTTAGTAAGTCGCACCAGTGCCTAATAACAGCATTGGAGTCAAGAGCCGACTCGCTGTCGTGGGAACTAGTGACGTCTCGGCTACTGCATGAAGACATGAAGCGCAAGGAACAAGGTGATGAAATCGAAGGAGACGCGCGCAGTCAACCTCAAGAATAATGTCAAGAGATAACAAGCGCAAGGCTCGACCGGCTAAGCAGACCGGTGCGTGCCACAGTTGTGAAAAACAAGGACTTTGGATTGTGGAATGCCCCTCGCGCATCCAGAAGACGCTGGTCGACACAGGTACCAGCGTGCAAACATCGCGCAAGAACCGGAGCTTGGCGATTACCTGTTCTCGGTTGGTGGTGGCAAGACCAAGTCGAGTTAAATGTGGCTGATCGACTCTGGAGCGACGCAGCACATGACAAGTACCAAGAAGTTCATGAAAAACTACAAGGACTTTGGACTAGTAGATGTGCATCTTGCTGATGATGGTGTTGTACAACGATTCGAAAGGGTGACATTGTCATGTCAATGAGGACCGTCAAGGGGTCAAGAAGGGTGTGCTCACTGGCGTGTGGCATATCCCCAAGCTATCGCGAAACCTGTTTTCGGTTGGTCGATTCACCAAGGAGGTTGGGCATGTCACCTTTAAAGTCGATAATTGCTTCGCGGAAACGAAGGTGTTTCAAGTGGAAACTTGGCGCTATCAAAGGAAAAGGATTGTTCAAGCTGTGCATGACACCGGTGATGCCTAACGAGGCCAATGTGGCAAGTCCAATAAACTTCAAAGGGGCAACTCTTCGTACCTCTGGCACCTTCGACTTGGTCATATTGGTCATGGCGGTCTTGATGCAATCGTCAAGAAAGATTACGGCAGCGAAATCGGCATAAAGTAGGTGCCGAAGTGGGAATTTTGTGAAGGATGCGCACTTGGCAAACAAACACGTGTGAGCTATATGCCCAAGTCACCCGACCATGCAAGTATGTTGCTGGAGGTCATCCACAGCGATGTGTGTGGCCCTATGAAAACTCCTAACTTTAGCCCAAACAAACGGTATTTTGTGCCTTTTATTGACGTATACTCGCACTACTGTGTGTGTATCTGCTTCAAAAAGCAGCCAAGTTCGCTCAATTTGTCACGTTGGTGGAAACCCAAACTGGCAAGCGTGTGAAGACTCTTCGAAGCATAATGGTGGCGAGTACGCTTCCAGTATGATGTTCAAGCTCTTAGCGGAAGATGATATTATGCATATGTTCATGCCGCCTTCCACGCCTCAATTGACTGGTGTCACCGAGCGGATGAATCGAAAATTCGTGGAAAGCGCTCGTTGCATGATGGAACATGCCGAATTAGCCAAATCGTATTGGGGTGAGGCATTCATGACTGCAAACGTTGTAAGTCTTCGCTGTCCAACTCGTTCTACAAGTCACGACAAGTCACCCTACGAAGCATGGAGCGGTAAGAAACCTATACTTGCAAACCTGAAGGTGTTCAGTTGCCATGCATACGTGCATGTGCCCAAGTCAAAGCGGTCCAAGCTCGATGCAAGATCTATTCAGTGTCGGTTCATTGGATACTCCGACCATGAACAAGCGTACCGTTTCAAGGAGATCAAGAGTCGTCGTGTACTGGTGAGCCGTGATGCAGTTCATGGAGAATGTTTTCGACAGTGGAAGACGCGACTATGTGCAAGATGGAACCGTCGTCGAAGAAGAAGCTTTTATGGAAGATGAGGATGTACCTATGGAGGACTACTCCTCTCATGACACCAGCAACATGAATTTTGAAGAGGCTACAATGGATGGCGTTGATGAACCCGGCGTTAAGAGACACCAACGCACACAGTCGCTCGAGGCCTTGGCCAACGCTCCTGATGCGAAACGTCGAGCTCGATACCTTACCATGGCCGAGATGTCTGCGACTGCTGATACCAGTCACTTTGTTGAGACTGCCTACGTCGTGGATTCAGTGGGAGATTTACCAAGGACGTTCAAGTCAGCAATGGAATCCAGCGACGCAGTCAAGTGGAAAGAGGCTTGTGACTCCAAAAACAATTCCCTTCGTCAAAATGAGACCTGGAATCTCGTGCCGCTTCCACAGGGACGCAAGGCAATTGGTAATCGATGGGTATTTCGGGTAAAGGAGACCCAGGATGGCAAAATCGAGCGGTTCAAGGCGCGTCTGGTTGCCAAGGGATTTTTGCAGAAGCTTGGCATCGACTATGACGAGACGTTTGCACCAGTGGCCAAGTTCACATCGATCCGAATCGTACTCAGTTTAGCTGCGAAGTACTCGTTCATGATTCACCAGATGGATGTGAAGACTGCGTTCCTGAACGGTGAGCTGGATGAAGATATCTACATGGAGCAGCCAGACGGCTACGTTGATGAAGACCATCCGGACTACGTGTGCAAGCTCAAGCGCTCGCTGTACGGACTGAAGCAGTCGCCGCGCATGTGGAACCAGACCATCGACGATTTCATGCTGGACTTGGATTTTAAGAAGTGCAAGACCGACCATTGCATTTATTTCAAGCGAGATCAAGAAGACTTGAGTTTTGTAGCGCTGTACGTTGACGATTTGGTCCTCGTAAGCAACAACGCCGAACTGATTAGAGCTACAAAGGATGCGCTAAGTGAGCGGTTTGAGATGACGGATCTCGGCGAACTCAAGTACTTCCTAGGAGTGGAAGTTAACCAAGATTGTTCAGCTGGTACGATTTCGATTTGTCAGTCCAAATTTGCAAAGGACATCCTTGATAAATTTGGCATGGATAACAGCAAACCGGTCAAGACACCTCAAGAACCAGGACTCAAGCTGACAAAGTCAATGTGCGTGGATGGGTGCAAGCATGACGAAACGATGGCAAATGTGCCATTTCGCAACGCAGTCGGCTGCTTGATGTGCCTTATGGTGGGTACACGCCCAGACCTTGCTGCTGCAGTGGGAGTGCTTAGTCAGTTCTCGGCAGACCCTTGTCCGACCCATTGGCAAGCTCTTAAGCGGGTGTTACGTTACATCCAAGGCACAAGGGAATATGGAATCGAGTATCAAGCAACAAACAATGACAAACTGCACGGCTATTCGGATGCAGACTGGACCGGAGACGTGGAAGCTCGACGAAGCACAAGCGGGTACACGTTCATATTGAACAACGGGTGTGTAAGCTGGAGAAGTAAGAAACAGAGCACTGTGGCTCTTTCATCTACGGAAGCAGAGTACATGGCGTTGTCGGAAGCTGCACAAGAAGCAATTTGGCTGAAGGCACTATTATGTGAGCTCGACGAGATGAGGAGCGATGAAGCTGTCAAGATCTACGAGGACAACCAAGGCTCCATCGCATTGGCCAAAAAATCCCGAATTTCACAAGCGCACTAAACATATTGACATTCGTTTTCATTTTGTACGCGAGAAAGTGGCTGAAGGAACATTGGTGTTGGAATACTGCTCGACCAAGGACATGAAGGCCGACCTGATGACGAAGCCAATTCCTGCAGTACAGTTTCAACATCTACGGAACATGCTGGGTGTCAAGGTGCTAACTTCTGCCGAGGCGAGTGGGAGTGTTGTCACAAATGCGCCTCGGCATGCGTATTCGCACAAGAACCTGTAGCTCAAGTGGTTTGATGTGGCAGCACCATGCGAGAGGTCACTGGTTCGATATCCAGTGACTGCAACAAAAAGTTAAAACCTTCGGGTACTGGTGTGCCGGGGTTCACCAGCACTGTCCTGCCAGACAGTGACGTCCCCCATCTTAGTAAGTTACGGTGTTTGTTAGAAACACACTATCTGAGTTAGAAACGTACGACGAGACGATTAGTAATGTACGACTGGACGATTACTAACGTAGAGTCAGAAAGAATTCAGTAGGCTTAGAGTAGCAACAGGAGGTTGTGAACTAAGGACCTAAATATATCCACTGTGCATTTTGCAAAACTTCGATCACTTCCTTTAGAAACAAGTCATCAGCAAGGATGGCTGGTTGCGTGCAGCAGCTCATCAACGCCCGTCTCAAGTTTGGAACCATACTAATGGCCTTTCGGATTTTCAAGTCTGGACTTGCTACAGAATCGCCACTAATCAACTTAACCTCTACCATGATGGTCGTCGCGCTGACAACAGCTGTCGAGCGCTGATGGAGTGTTGGGGGCGTAAAGAAACGTCGGCTCACATCTTTTGGGAATGTCCAAAGGCGCGCGCCTGCTGGAGGCGACTTATCTGTCACTGGACGGGTCTCCGAGATGCGAGGTCTGTTGATGAGACCTGGTATTTTGGCAGTGTGAATCGTCAGGCTCCTGCATTACCGGCAAGGCAGCGACAACGCCTACATGAACATTTACAAGACGACTTGGAAGCAGGGGTCATGGTTTGGAATCGCATATGTTTATCATGTGTAGCGTCTGTTTAACTCACTTTGGAGTGAACGAAACGACGCAGTATTTCAAGGTGTGCGGACGACGGTTATTCACAGCGTCACCCGTTTTTGGAAGGTGGGGATTCGGCATCTCAGCGCGTTAGCGAAACGCGAACATCGTGGTCCCGACACAGTCGTCACCGGGGCTCTCTTACATGCCTGTCTTGACCTCTTCACTCTCGAACCGCGGGATGAGGTGGTCTTCGCAGGAAGCAGCTACGACAAGCTACCGGATCCGGAGCTCTTGTCCTGGCTCCAGAGTTTTCAGACATCTTGTACATAGGTAACTGTTAATAGACTGTCATGAAATCTCTCCCAGTAATATAGTGGAAAGGACAGGAGCGACTGCAAAGGCGCGACGGCAGCTCCTGCCCTGGCTACACGGAAAAGCATGTGATCATGGGCATGCAAGTGCAAGAAGCAGTGCGACATTGAACGATGCAGTTCACCGCGGGCGTGGGACAGTGCTAACGTTCCGGTCATAACACGAACAATGCCGCAATCAGGCGAAAGCTTACGGCACAGCAATCATAGTATCGTCTTGCCCTGGTCTGAAGGGACTGGACAGCGCGTAGTTTCAAATACAGATGTCCTAGCCCGTCGATACAAAAAGCAAGTGTTTCGGAAGCCTTTCCTTCTTTAGTAGGTTGTCATTGCGCAGCAAGGATCAGGTTTGCCCAAACTTCCCGCCTTGTAATCGTCAAGTCCTTGGTGTGCTCCTTCCCCTAGTAGGCGGCTACCACCATGCCACATACCATACTATACTGAACTCGCTATAAGCCTAACACATAAGACGATTTGGACCGAAAGTCGCATTGCTTCCCCTTCTCTCAGCAGCTCACAATTCATTTTGCCGCTCAGTGCGAACCATCCGTCCCTGGTCGTCTCTTGTCAGCTATGAGGTCGGTCAACCTCATTGCGCTCTTCGTGGCCATTTCGCCGTTCTCCGTCATTGGTTTACTCCAAGTGTCTGGCCTGTCACTCATGACGTCGCCCAGCTCCACCGAACGGGAGTCTACGGAAGTCTTGGAGATCAATGCGAGGGAGGAAAACCGCGCTATCTTGCTACCTACTGATCTTCGGGAGTATTTCCGGAAATTCTTAAATGGGGCGTGGTTGAAGGATCTCTGGGCGAAGATCAAGGGCAGAACACCCGTCGGTGTATCTGGCAAGGAGCTGAAGGGTCCCAAAGCGCAGGCTAAGGCCGTGGTTTCCGTCACTGAAGCCAAAATGGCGCTGAAATTGGAGACGCTTGAGAAAAACCTGAAGGAGCTCCTGGAGGTGTTCGAGCCGAAACGAGTCGGCGCAGAGATGGAAGAGCTCCGCAAGAAACTGGAGAAGCTCGAGGCAGCCCAGCTCCTGACACCTCTCGACAAAGACCACGTAGCGGAGAAACTAAAAAAGGTCGAGTCCGAGATAGCAAAGCTTGCATCTCGTCAAGATCACACGACACCAGTCGATCAAGGTGTCATAACGAAGAAGATCGAAAAGCTCGTGAAAACGGTGGGAGCGCTCGAAAAGAATGGCGACACATCCGCTGCGGAGCTGAAGGAGCTCAAGGGGAATCTGCTGAAGTTAAAGAACACGCTCGAAGACTTGGAAATCGTCGATGAAGCTCGTGCGAAGATGGCTGATCTCAAGGCGAAGCTCCAGAACGTAGCAAACGTCGGTGATGCTTTTGTGAAAACAGGTTTGCACAAGATGCTTTCCGTTAAAATACCTGGAGGTGGTACAAAGGATTTCGCTCTCCGTTTCTTTCGAAGTTCTGAGTTCCGGGCCATGCGCGACCATTATTCATCGAAAAGTGCTGTAGCATTAAATAAGTCCATCTTATTGAATCTGGTGCGTGAAAAGAGCCCGCACGAAGTGACTTTAATGCTGTCTGCGGCGCGACAATATGGGGGTGAAAGGGTCAGGGGGTATGCGGAAGCGTTGGAGGAGGCGCAGTTCGAAAACTGGGTAAATGATGGGTTGACGAAGGAAACCATAGCCGCGGATATCATTGTTGAAAATGAGGCAAAATTGCAGCCCGAAGAAAAAAAGCTGTTGCTAGGCGTCGTGGGTAGGTTTGGAGAGTTCCCCAAAACAAAGTTTTTGCCTGTAAAGCAATAGTAGTGGTCACGCTAGTATGTGCATTCCGAATACACAATCATCGCTTTGCACTCAACTAGCGGGTGATCTCCTTCTTCTTTATGCGTTACAGCTTCCTCTTTACAATGTGCTCTAGCCTCTGGTGATCTTGTCGCACGCGTTTACTAATTTGAACAGTTTGAATAAAAGTTGAGATTCGGCATGAAAACCTCTGATCATCGTAACACATCACCAGCCGTGTTTCTGGCAATGTGTTGTCAAGTCGTCTACTAAATATACGAGTTTCCTGCTCGACAGAATCGATATCCTCAACCAACTAAAGTGTGTTAGAAATACTTCGCATACTATCGTCCAATGTGTTGAAATTGCTACATGACTTCATTGCAAGTTTCATGGCATACACGCTCGCCTTGTCTTAACTGACCTACTGACCGGCTCGCCTTGTCTTAACTGACCTACTGACCGTTCACAACACCACCTCCTTTGACTTCTTCAGAAATGGACCCCGTTGTTCAACAAGACTCACTAACATGTGTGCGATGCGTGCGGCACGAAGTTCTAGGTGATTGGCAACAAGGAAAGGTGCAAACCGCGCGGATGTCGCGTGTACATCTCATGCGTTTCCTTTAAGTCCGAGCGGACGATTCAATGAGAAGAGGCCGACACATGAGTTTGAGACGTCGCGCGCTGCTTGCTGTTTATGATATGACATACAACAACGAGCTCGACAGGCTCCAAGTGCTACCGGGCGTTAGCTCTTGCCAGTCGGAGAACAAAAAGACAGATTCGGACGTGCATGCCACCTCAGCAAGGACCGAGATCGCCGACGACGATAAGCGCAGGTGGTGATGCTGTCGAGGCAATCGCATCCGAGAAGGTTACATTATCACACTATTGTGCACCAAATTAAAAAAACGGTGGATAGTTGGACCGTCAAGGAGGTAAGCGCGAGGCGAAGATGCGTCGCACAGCTAAAGCCGCGCCACGACTTTAGTAATCTTTCAAGCTGTGCAACAACGGGAGACGTTGTCACGCTTTTGCTTTGAGCTACGATTTAGCGGCTATGGTAGCTGGCTGGTCATTCCTTGGACTGCTGCTAACGAAATGTCTGTGATCTGCATGCAGCCTTTCCACAAGATGTAGCTGTGGTTTTTGTGCTGCAGCTTTTTGGGCGCCGATACTTAATTATGGCATGGGTGATCAAGTTCTGTTTGTGGACAACAATCTCATTCATGGGTCAGAACGATTGAGTGTCCGTAAGTTACATTTAATTTACATTTTGATGATTTGGCAAGATGTCTATGAAAGAGTTTGAAGCCAGATTAGCCATTTTCATCAATTTGGGATAAGTTGCTTTTGTTTCCAAGCACAACGCTGATTTGGCAGCAGCATTGTCAAAATTTAAAGCCGCACAATCGACAAGCAAGGTGCGTTAATTTGTTCGATACAGATTCAGCGCGTAGGCGTAGAACGCCATCTAATACGACGAGCTGACGTCATGGTTCACGACTTGATATTGCACAGAGCTCCCAGTTCATCCAGACGCTTCTTTATCACGGGCGCCTGATCAGATTCTTTGTCATTAATAAACGTTCACTGTCGTTAATTTATCCTTCATCTGCTTGCAAAAACGAGTTCTGCTGCTTGCTTGTCTCTTCACTCGTCGCCCTCACCACTGTTAACGTGCATTGATCGTTATAGGGACAATGCTATTGTAGTTTGCCGACACCACCCACGATTAATGCATACTTGCAGCAGCGTCGAAGCTTCCAAAAGGTTGACAGGCAACATCCAAACAAGCAATAGTGTTGAATTGTCGGCGACGATTCTTGTATACACTCTGGTACAATAGTCAGAATGAGCCATCGAAGGCGCAGCACGGAGACTAGGTCCAACAGTAGCTATTGTGTACAGGACATCCAAAATAATACCGTGATACTCCTTGCATCCATGACAATTACCAACAGTGTTTTCATGGTTAATTGGGTAGAGTCGATGGGGAACGTGAGGTGGTAGCCCTTGCCTCGGCACCTACGAGTTTGTCCTACCAGGCAAACCAGAATACTGCTGATTTTCTATCATTTGCATCACAAGGAGGGGAACTCACGATTAGTTCAGTGCAAAGGAAACTGCAACGGAACGATTTTGCCGGTAACAGGGTAGCCCAATACATGATATCGACACCAAAAGGTGTCAATAGGAATATTGTCTAGCACGATAATTCCCTGCCAATATTATCCAAGATGGGTAGTACCGAAGAAATATTATTCCCTAACAGATAATATTCATGCGCTGCTCCAAGATTGGTTGATGGAAAACATATCAACCATCGATTACCACCAATCGCTGCTTGACGCGCGCAATGAGTGGTGAGCAGGTTGTCGTCATATGACAACGTAGATTAATAGAGTAAGACATAGATATAAGTCATTTTGATAGCTTAACTATGTTGAATACAGTTCTATTTGTACCTTTACTTGTCCGAGTCGTTCAAGTAGATTAGCTTCCTTTGCACGTACTAGTGTACGTGAAGTTTCGTGTCACCCCACACAAAGGGTGCCCGTTACACCTGGTAGCACGTCGTAGTCCGTCCAACGAGTACTTAGTGTCTGTCTAACATGACCATGTTGGATGTAGAAGAAGACAGCTTTCACGTCACACGTAAAGGCTACTCCCATCTGAGTGATTCAGAATGGGAGATAGTCGGCCGCATGGGTGAGTTCATGGGCGAACACGCTATTTGTGGTATGTTGGAGTCTCTAAGCAGAGACCAGCAACATGCTGCTATCAACAAGTTCCTACAAGGGGGACTTGATGTCGAATACAGAAGATAGCCTTGCTACAACAGCAGGGCTCTCATCAGTCGATGAGCGGCATACCCAAACCTTGAAGATATAACCTCGCGGTACAAGGGCACCGACGAAGATTCCCTTTTGAGATGGTTCGTGGAGTTAGACGATGCCATCAGGGGCCCGTCAAATCGAGGGTGACGCGATGCAAGTCACCTTCTCCCTGTCCAATTTGACAGGACGAGCAAAGACTTGGGCCTTAGGGATCAAGGTTCACGACCCAAACGTGTTTGAGTCGTCAGAGTTCTTGAAGTCTCGGCTCAAAGACACGTTTAAGCCGACACGAGCCGAGTTCAGAGCACGCTCTGCACTCCTGAGGCTCAAGCAAGGTAAGCGTGACGTGCACGCCTACGCATATCACCTACGATACCATGCGGGTAGCGTCTCACTGAAAACCCTGTTGATGAGCACACTCTCATCAACGTGTTCATCTACGGCCTTGTGGATGGGCCGGTGAAGACCTACATGTTCCGAGAGGACTTCCATACGATGGCAAGGCGATAGCGTATGCAGAGCAAGAAGACTTCAGCCTGAGACAGTCTCAGGCTAACTCGTCAAACTATCTTCCGACGAGGCGACAGGAAATAGGAGGTCCCGAACCAATAGACCTCTGTTACATCGAGAGCAACAACTCTCGCTCTCTGAGTCACAAGCAAACGGCAAGAAGCCATCGCTGTCAGAAGATTGGGCACTACGCTCATGAGTGTTGTGTCCCAATCACTAGAACACGTCCAAAGACAGGACGTGATGACCGCCGTTGGCCGAGGGAAGGTTTAAGGCGAAGGTCCGACCATGTCGCTAAGCCGCGACAGCAAGTCGGGCCGTCAAAAACGGTCAGGGTCAGTAGGGGCGGAGCACCCTGCTGATCCAGCAACGTCAAGAGAATTTGTAGGACTCGCGACGAAGATTGCTTCGAACACACAGTCTCTGTGTGTTACTGACCCTAGTGATGAGGAGTCTCTCATCACTCTGAAAATCGAAGCGACCAGTGGAATGTCACTTCGCGCCCTAGTTGACTGTGGGGCGTCGGACATTTTTATTCGACGCCATTCGCTAGGGGGTAGTAGGCTCAACTATGTTGAGCGAGAGTTCCCTCCAACGCGGATGACGGTGTGCCTTGCTACAGGCGCATCCGTAACAGTGAACAAACGTGAAGTGGGAATCAATAAACACTAGAATGAAGCAGTACGATGATGAATTTATCGTATTAGATTTGGATGACAAATTTGATGTCATCATTGGTCTGCCATGGCTTAGAAAATACCAGCCATGGGTTGGCTTGCAACATCGATCCGTGAAGATGACTGCCGTTTGGTCATCAGATGGCCATCTGCTGAACATCTTGGAGCATCCATAAGCGTGTGGATGTACTACGAGTGAGTGTGATGGCCTCACTTCGGGTACGGTCGTTAGTACGACTGCACAAGATCAAGTGTAGGAGGCCACTACACTGTGGAACCAGCTTCCGGCACCTTTGTAGAGACACAGGCTGCGCCGAAGGTTTACCACTCGTAGAGATTGAGTGGACTGGAACACGGATGCACACCAAGAAGGGTGCGATACGAGAGATTAGTGTTTTTCATGATAAACAACACGTTGAAGCGAGATCGAATATCAGAGAGTCGATCGCATAGTAAGCCCGATCGACTATCAGAGAGTTGATCGAAGAGGACGTGGTAGTGCACCCACAATCAGTTTACGTAATGGAAGAAAGCTCCAGCGTTCCTGAGAGTGATAACTCCCGAGAGATTATGTTGAGGGTGTGGATCCCCAACCACCTGCGGATGTGTTTTCCCAGGAAATCACCGAGACAGTGAATGTCTTGGTGAATGATGGATCAAGTGCAGGCGCTTATACACTTGATCTGGTTACACCTCTGAAGTCAGCTTCGGAGGTGGTCAAGTTGCCAACGCTAGAATCTAAAAGATTCTTGTGAGATCTGCGTAGTGACAAGATCAAGCAGATCTGCGTATTCGTCACAGAAGACGAGTGCGTCACCGATATTCGGTCGGCACAGGTGCTTGCTGAGTACGGACGGGTTCTCAGTAGCTCGTCTATGGATGAGAGTGTCCTCAATGAGCAGACTCGGATTGAGCGATACACGTCTCAATATTGGGATTCTTTGAAGACAACTCCTTTGTATAAAGATTTGGCTGAATTCAGGGACGTTTTCCCTGAATATGTTCCATGCGAGCTGCCCAAGGACAAAGGCACTCGGCTGGAGATCAAACTGAAACCTGGTTCGAAATACTGTGTCTTGAAGCAGTGGCCACTGCCTCGTGAATAGGTCACAGTGATCGACAAATTCTTTGCCGATCACTTAGCGGCAAGTCATGTGAGGGAATCAACATCCCCACACAGCTCTCCGACCCTCTGTGTGCAAAAAAGGCCACAGGAGGGGGGGGGGATTGTGCATGCGTTCAACAAATTGAGCGCTGCAACGGTACCGGCTCAAACGCCGATAACAAGGAAGGGACGTCATTATAGATGGTATGGCAAAAAGTACCATCTTTTCTTCCATGGGTCTGATAAATGAATTCTATCAGATCCTCACGCGTGACGGGACATCCCGTACACAGCAGTGAGCACCCCCAGTGGTATGCTCTGGGAGTGGCTAGTGATGCCACAGGGGATAAGTAACGCTCCTGCAATGTTCAACAGATGTGTTACAAATCTGTTAAGATCGGTGCGCGATTTCGCACCGAGTTACTTCGACGATGTCTTCGTCCATAGCCGGGCTATGGATGGAAAGACGGGCGTGGACGTTCATAGAATCCACGTCCGGAAGGTTTTCACACTAATGCGAGAGCATAAATTGTTCGCGATCCTCAAGAAGTGTATATTCGCAGCGAACGAAATACCACTTCTTGGCTGCATCGTGGGTAAAAACGGTGCACGCCCTGATCCGGAAAATATCGTGACGATTAACATCTGGCCTGTGCCAGTCGTCGTCAAGGGACTTCGAATGCTCCTTGGCTAGGCGGCGTACTTGCACAAGTACTCGCGCAACTACGCCGAGATGACTGTACATCTCTCTCGTCTACTAAAGAAAAACGAGAGGTGGTCATGGAGTGCTGAGTGTCGGCACTCCTTTGAAGGTATCAAGAAATCTTGATACAATCGCCTGTGTTGGCGATTGCAGACCAGGACAGACCATTCCATGTGGTCTGTGACGTCAGCGATTTTGCAATCGGCTGCGCGTTAATGCAGTACGACTCAGACGGCGTTGAGCGCGTCGTCTGTTATCAATCGCGTAAGATGCCAGCAGCTGAGCGTAATTGCCCAGTGCATGACAAGGAACTCCTTGCCATCAAATATGCACTGGCTGAGTTTCGGGTATATCTCTTAGAGGATAGGCCCTTCATCGTTTATACCGACCATGCTTCGTCACGCACGGCCGTAAACAGTCCACACCGCTCGCAGCGAATGGCGAGGTGGCTGTATTTCTTCACGGAGTACACCTTTTACGTTTATTATAAACCAGAAAGGCTTAATGTCGTCGCTGATGCTCTTTCGCGTCGGCTTGATTTGGAGCCGATGCTCAACCCAACAGTAGGGGTGATCCCACTGTCGTGACACTAACAGTGAGTGTTCCGTCGTCGAATTTGCTTGATGACGTGCGGAAAGCATACGCAGAAGATGGGCCTCCTTCACGATTAATGGATTACGTGTCTAAACCATGCAGTCAAGCTTTTTAAATATTGATGTCTCAATACCGCTCTTCAACCGAACGGTATTCTGTTCGTGATGAACTGCTGTACTATACAGCAGTCAGCTGCGACACACCTCGTGTCGTCGTTCCCGCTCATGATTATTTGCGATTGCGCATCATGTATGAGGGTCACCATGTTCCAACAAGTGGGTATCGAGGTATAGAAAAGACTTACCTCACGGTAAGTCGTGACTTCTACTTTCCCCTCCAGTATGAGCTTGTGAGCAAATACATTCGCGCTTGCGAAGTTTGCCAGTGGGTGAAGCCTAGTCCTTCATCCCGTGCACCCTTGCAGCCTCTTCCGATTCCGGCAGAGAGTCGGCACATATCGATGGACTTCGTCTTTGGGTTTCCAAAGACGTTCACACGAACATGGTATTTTTGTGTTTGTTGATCGTGTCAGCAAGATGGTACATCTTGTTGCTGTACCGGAGTCAATCACAGCCCACGCCTGTGCTCGTGTCTTCATCGATACCATCTTCCGACTTCACAAATTACTCCGTGAACTCGTGTCTGATAGGGACCCCTGCTTCACAGCGGAGTTCTGGCAATCCGTATTCCGTTCACTTGGAACACGTTTGAATATGTCGACTTCTCACCATCCAGAAACCTATGGTCAGACGGAACGCGTCAACCGCGTTCTCGAAGAGATACTTTGAGGGTGCACCCACTCGTCTACGAGTTGGAGTTAGTTCTTGCCGATGGCGGAATTCGCCATCAACAACTCGGTGCATGCGTAGACAACGCATACATCGTCTTCATGAATGACCTACGCCATTCACGTTTACCCATCTTCATAGAGTGTGACTCTAGTTTAAGGAGGGGTAGACTCGATCGAACAAAAACCGATCTGGTTCTTGCTCATCACCCGTCGACAATGGTGTCGACGTGATGGACGCCGATGTCGATCACATCGACATCGATGATGATGATTAAGACGATGCTGGGGGGGGTATATTCATTATCGCCAATGACTGCCACAGTGAGTACGATGACGCCCTCACTGGTGAATACAATGTTTTTTCAGCAGTGCACACGAAGCTCACTGCTGTTGACAAGGATGAATTAGCAGAGGAATTTCTGCTGACTCGCGAAGCGGTTGTCCGCTTCGTTCAAGACTCTATTGCAGATGCACTAGACAGACAGAAAAGAAACGCAGACAAACACGGAAGAGAAGGCGTTCTTTCATTTGATGAAGGAGACCCAGTTTACTGTCTACAGTAAACTACCGAAACACGCAGTGAAATACGTGGGCAGCAGTAAATTACTGCCCGAGTACATCGGTCCATTTCGTGTGCTGCGCCGAATGGGCAACGCATACAAGATTGAGCTGCCCCTTAAGATGCGTAAGCATCCTACGTTTTACGTTGGACGTCTCCGCTCTTATTATCATTAAGAGTCCGTTTCGAGAGGCAAAGAACACCTCCGCGGTCAAGGGCCGAGACCACCTTCGAGTATTCCCATTTCAACGAGCCAGTCTGGTCGACTAGCGAAGCGACCTGATCACGCAGTAATGCGATGTCTCGACGAGCTGCAGCCAACTCATCACGAAGAAAATGAGTCGGACGTTCGTTCTCAAGTTGCGCGAACGCAAAAGCGGCACGATCGTCCGAACGATCGTGCGTTAGAAATTTTTAATTATCATTTACAAGGTCATGGAGCTCATAACGCCGAGTCCGTTCGTGAGCCAGGTCATCTTGCAACTGTTCCGTTACACGGCTCAGATCCCCAACATCAAGCTGATCCGAACCTCGAGCCGGATAGGTGTTTCCGCCGTCACCACATCCTTTGGTGGACTCAAGCGGTGGTCAACGCTTTCTAGTGGAGCGTGTTTCGAGCGACCGCGATGTGAATGGCGTCCGGATGAGCTACCTCGTCCGCTGGAGTGGCTATCCACCGGCGTGGGACAGCTGGAAGCCCTGTGCCCAGCTGATTGTTGATGTCCTTGGTCTTGTCGAGCAGTACGACGAGACCCACCCGCTGCGTTTGAAGAAGGGCCGTCGGAAAACGACCTCCCCGAACGCGAGTACAGGGATTGCAAGGTGTCGATTCCTTCGGCAATCTCAGAAGATATGTGCGCCCTCCAGTAGGGATCATTAGGGAGGTAAGCCTCCCTAGGGGTACGGTTCGAATTGGCCAGGCAACCTGGACACGAATCACCCCACGAGAGACAGGGTAATCCTGCCTCTCTTGAAAGCGGTGCAACTTGTACCGTACACCGACTGGGTTGCGCTTCTCAAACCTGATGCAATCTGCACCAAGTTTACTGATCCAGGCCTCACGGCAAATGCACTCGATGTTATGGATGAGGGCATTCCATCCCTGCACCAAGGCTTTGCCGTCTCGAACACGGCTACCCTTGTACCACCGATGTTTAAAGAACGCATCGGTGAAGAGTTCTTCCTCAGCACGGATAGTTTCCGTGCTGTAATCAGGTGGGCAAATCCTCCTACAGTCGAACAACGGGATTCGATCCCGTTCGTTAGTCGTGCCGGCCAACCGGTACAACTCCCTGGATGGCGGCATCCACGGAGACTCCACTTGAGGAGCGTGGCGCAAGAAATTTCGGTCCCTGGCCTCTTGATTGTTGCCAGCGTGAGCTCTAGCACCAGTGTTACCCCGATCCCTTGAATTTATTGGCTCGTAGTGATGCATTGGTGCATCACCACCATCTCCACGCGTCCTATCGTTGGATGGACTTGCGTGAGGCGGAGACTCATCGGAGTAATAACTCGATCCGAAGGTCTCGGTCATGATACCGCCGCGTTGACCAGAGCCAGTCAGCCTGGCTCATGCAGTGTCCGCTCCGGGTGATCCGTAGGCGTGAGGCGTCGCCTTCGAGTCGGATGCATCATCCGGCTCGCCAGAATAGATGAGCTCTATCTCCGACTCGTCTTGATTACGACTCGCAGTACCCGCTGCAGACGAGCGGATGTACCGGTCGCACGTGGTGACTCACCACGTGGAGGATTCAAGACAACGGGAGACGAATCGCCTGCTGCGGAGGTGTGAGAGGCACTTGCCGCGACCGCACGCATGCGTGCACCCCCCGCTTTTCTTGCTGCTTCGGCAGCACATCGCATGGACTTTGACACCATGCGATGAATTGGCAAATGAATGGAATTTCACCAACAAGTGCTCCCTTTCCCAAAGTGATCCAACGGTGGTCACCCTGTCTAAATTAATTCTTATTCAATCAACGGGTGATTTATGGTTAAGGGGTGGTAATGTAACGGGGTAGCCCGTTGCATGATTTTGACACTAAACGGTGTCAATAGGAATATTGTTTTGCGTGACAATATTCTACCGATATTATCCGAGATGGATAATTTTGAAGGATAATTATCCCTTTTGGATAATTATTATTCGCTGCTCCAAGATTGGTTGATGTAAGACATATCAACCATCGATTACCACCAATCGCTGCTTGACGCGCGCAATGAGTGGTGAGCAGGTTGTCGTCATATGACAACGTAGATTAATAGAGTAAGACACAGATATAAGTCATTTTGATAGCTTAACTATGTTATATACAGTTCTATTTGTACCTTTTGCTCAACATAGCTGTTGAGTAGATTAGCTTCCTCTGCACTTTCTAGTGTACGTGAAGTTTTGCGACACCCCAAACATAGAATGCCCTGTAACACTCTACACCCGAATTTTTGCGTGAGTGGTGCGTCGTACGTATTAATCCGGTTTTGCTCTTGCATTGAAGTCTTCGATTTGCCTTTTTGCCGTCTACGTCTTGAAGGACATTGTCTGGATTAGCTGATGAATTAATTATCAAAGACTGGGAGCTCAATTCACAATGATTGTTAAAAGACGATCACGAATTTGCGACTTCTTCGCCGATAAACATCACATAATTCGATAATGCTGAACCTCATGATCTTTTTGAAAAAGATCAGTCCGACACTTCATATCATCGTAGCTTAGCTTCGTATATTTCGCTACCAGAACAGAAATAGAAAGCATTTGTACGTCCTTGTCGTTTAATCGGTGCACTATTTCCCTAGATCCAGGCCGAGTTAGGTATTCAGGCAATGCAACGGGGCACTATTTTCTGGAGTGCCACGAAACTTCACGTACACTAGTAAGTGCAGAGGAAGCTAATCTACTCAACAGCTATGTTGAGCAAAAGGTACAAATAGAACTGTATATAACATAGTTAAGCTATCAAAATGACTTATATCTGTGTCTTACTCTATTAATCTACGTTGTCATATGACGACAACCTGCTCACCACTCATTGCGCGCGTCAAGCAGCGATTGGTGGTAATCGATGGTTGATATGTCTTACATCAACCAATCTTGGAGCAGCGAATAATAATTTTTCAAAAGGGATAATTATCCTTCAAAATTATCCATCTCGGATAATATCGGTAGAATATTGTCACGCAAAACAATATTCCTATTGACACCGTTTAGTGTCAAAATCATGCAACGGGCTACCCCGTTACATTACCACCCCTTAACCATAAATCACCCGTTGATTGAATAAGAATTAATTTAGACAGGGTGACCACCGTTGGATCACTTTGGGAAAGGGAGCACTTGTTGGTGAAATTCCATTCATTTGCCAATTCATCGCATGGTGTCAAAGTCCATGCGATGTGCTGCCGAAGCAGCAAGAAAAGCGGGGGGGGGTGCACGCATGCGTGCGGTCGCGGCAAGTGCCTCTCACACCTCCGCAGCAGGCGATTCGTCTCCCGTTGTCTTGAATCCTCCACGTGGTGAGTCACCACGTGCGACCGGTACATCCGCTCGTCTGCAGCGGGTACTGCGAGTCGTAATCAAGACGAGTCGGAGATAGAGCTCATCTATTCTGGCGAGCCGGATGATGCATCCGACTCGAAGGCGACGCCTCACGCCTACGGATCACCCGGAGCGGACACTGCATGAGCCAGGCTGACTGGCTCTGGTCAACGCGGCGGTATCATGACCGAGACCTTCGGATCGAGTTATTACTCCGATGAGTCTCCGCCTCACGCAAGTCCATCCAACGATAGGACGCGTGGAGATGGTGGTGATGCACCAATGCATCACTACGAGCCAATAAATTCAAGGGATCGGGGTAACACTGGTGCTAGAGCTCACGCTGGCAACAATCAAGAGGCCAGGGACCGAAATTTCTTGCGCCACGCTCCTCAAGTGGAGTCTCCGTGGATGCCGCCATCCAGGGAGTTGTACCGGTTGGCCGGCACGACTAACGAACGGGATCGAATCCCGTTGTTCGACTGTAGGAGGATTTGCCCACCTGATTACAGCACGGAAACTATCCGTGCTGAGGAAGAACTCTTCACCGATGCGTTCTTTAAACATCGGTGGTACAAGGGTAGCCGTGTTCGAGACGGCAAAGCCTTGGTGCAGGGATGGAATGCCCTCATCCATAACATCGAGTGCATTTGCCGTGAGGCCTGGATCAGTAAACTTGGTGCAGATTGCATCAGGTTTGAGAAGCGCAACCCAGTCGGTGTACGGTACAAGTTGCACCGCTTTCAAGAGAGGCAGGATTACCCTGTCTCTCGTGGGGTGATTCGTGTCCAGGTTGCCTGGCCAATTCGAACCGTACCCCTAGGGAGGCTTACCTCCCTAATGATCCCTACTGGAGGGCGCACATATCTTCTGAGATTGCCGAAGGAATCGACACCTTGCAATCCCTGTACTCGCGTTCGGGGAGGTCGTTTTCCGACGGCCCTTCTTCAAACGCAGCGGGTGGGTCTCGTCGTACTGCTCGACAAGACCAAGGACATCAACAATCAGCTGGGCACAGGGCTTCCAGCTGTCCCACGCCGGTGGATAGCCACTCCAGCGGACGAGGTAGCTCATCCGGACGCCATTCACATCGCGGTCGCTCGAAACACGCTCCACTAGAAAGCGTTGACCACCGCTTGAGTCCACCAAAGGATGTGGTGACGGCGGAAACACCTATCCGGCTCGAGGTTCGGATCAGCTTGATGTTGGGGATCTGAGCCGTGTAACGGAACAGTTGCAAGATGACCTGGCTCACGAACGGACTCGGCGTTATGAGCTCCATGACCTTGTAAATGATAATTAAAAATTTCTAACGCACGATCGTTCGGACGATCGTGCCGCTTTTGCGTTCGCGCAACTTGAGAACGAACGTCCGACTCATTTTCTTCGTGATGAGTTGGCTGCAGCTCGTCGAGACATCGCATTACTGCGTGATCAGGTCGCTTCGCTAGTCGACCAGACTGGCTCGTTGAAATGGGAATACTCGAAGGTGGTCTCGGCCCTTGACCGCGGAGGTGTTCTTTGCCTCTCGAAACGGACTCTTAATGATAATAAGAGCGGAGACGTCCAACGTAAAACGTAGGATGCTTACGCATCTTAAGGGGCAGCTCAATCTTGTATGCGTTGCCCATTCGGCGCAGCACACGAAATGGACCGATGTACTCGGGCAGTAATTTACTGCTGCCCACGTATTTCACTGCGTGTTTCGGTAGTTTACTGTAGACAGTAAACTGGGTCTCCTTCATCAAATGAAAGAACGCCTTCTCTTCCGTGTTTGTCTGCGTTTCTTTTCTGTCTGTCTAGTGCATCTGCAATAGAGTCTTGAACGAAGCGGACAACCGCTTCGCGAGTCAGCAGAAATTCCTCTGCTAATTCATCCTTGTCAACAGCAGTGAGCTTCGTGTGCACTGCTGAAAAAACATTGTATTCACCAGTGAGGGCGTCATCGTACTCACTGTGGCAGTCATTGGCGATAATGAATATACCCCCCCCCAGCATCGTCTTAATCATCATCATCGATGTCGATGTGATCGACATCGGCGTCCATCACGTCGACACCATTGTCGACGGGTGATGAGCAAGAACCAGATCGGTTTTTGTTCGATCGAGTCTACCCCTCCTTAAACTAGAGTCACACTCTATGAAGATGGGTAAACGTGAATGGCGTAGGTCATTCATGAAGACGATGTATGCGTTGTCTACGCATGCAACGAGTTGTTGATGGCGAATTCCGCCATCGGCAAGAACTAACTCCAACTCGTAGACGAGTGGGTGCACCCTCAAAGTATCTCTTCGAGAACGCGGTTGACGCGTTCCGTCTGACCATAGGTTTCTGGATGGTGAGAAGTCGACATATTCAAACGTGTTCCAAGTGAACGGAATACGGATTGCCAGAACTCCGCTGTGAAGCAGGGGTCCCTATCAGACACGAGTTCACGGAGTAATTTGTGAAGTCGGAAGATGGTATCGATGAAGACACGAGCACAGGCGTGGGCTGTGATTTACTCCAGTACAGCAACAAGATGTACCATCTTGCTGACACGATCAACAAACACAAAAATACCATGTTCGTGTGAACGTCTTTGGAAACCCAAAGACGAAGTCCATCGATATGTGCCGACTCTCTGCCGGAATCGGAAGAGGCTGCAAGGGTGCACGGGATGAAGGACTAGGCTTCACCCACTGGCAAACTTCGCAAGCGCGAATGTATTTGCTCACAAGCTCATACTGGAGGGGAAAGTAGAAGTCACGACTTACCGTGAGGTAAGTCTTTTCTATACCTCGATACCCACTTGTTGGAACATGGTGACCCTCATACATGATGCGCAATCGCAAATAATCATGAGCGGGAACGACGACACGAGGTGTGTCGCAGC